CTTAAAAAAAGGTTTTGACTGATGGTCTACATGGAAATCCACTGCTTCTTTCCTATAAAATAGTAAAATATGATAGTCAATAAGAATATATAAAAAAGAATCCTTTCAGTTTACATTAATACAATAAAATGTTCATATTTATTTAATCCATATCTGAATTACTAAATGATTTTTAAGCAAGCATTCTGTCCAATTCCATCCATTTTAAATATGCTACAGGTATGCGCTAAAGAGATGTAAAATTATTGTTGCTGTTGTTGTGTACTGTCAAGTTGGAACCAACCCACAGCTGACCCTTCAGAGGGTTTTCAGAGGCAATAAGTCACACAAAAGGAGACTGCACATGTTTCTCCCAGGGAGTAGCTGGTGGAATTGAACTGTGTACGTTTGCACTGGAAGCACAATGTTACCAGTAAGTCACCAGAGCTCCCTTAAAATTAACAGAAGGCTATATTTACTTTATTGCTCATGTCCTAGACCAATGACCTTCCTCTCTCACCAACATCTTAAACTATCTAAATGTTATTAAGATCTGGGTAGAGAAGTCTAACATTAGACTAGTAAGAAATACTTTTTCTCTAAAGTCCAAATAAGTCATATTAAAAAAAATACACTCATAGTAAAGTAAAAAAAAAAACACCAAACACCAAAGCCAAAAACAAACCTGTTACTATCTTCTACAGAAATTAATCTGAGAAACTAGATTGAAATTTTCTTATTTAACAGTTAAACTTTTTCTTAATTTTTTGCAAAAGAATAATCAAGTATATTTGTTACTTTAAAAGGTATTACTAAATTATGCATACTACTGTATTACTCTTGCTATTAATGAATTAAAAAATATAGAGGTTGAAATTAAAAATTCATTAATGGTAATTAAGAATTACTTCTCAAATTTAAAGAATATATTTGGAGAGAATGAAGGAACAATGGACTAAAAGTAGATTAACTGAAATGTCTGAAGAACACTTTAAAAAGAGGGGGAAAAAAGTCGGTAACTCTCTTTCATTTTTCCTAAAAGGTTTAAACTGGATTCCCAGAATGTGACAAATACATAGCAACGTGTATTTGTACAATACGAAAAAAAGTTAGAGTACTCCCTGCCAGAGGATTAACATTTCAGGCTTCAAAACCATTTTTATATGCAATGTTTATATCATCCTATTTTATTACAAAAGGAATTCACACAATAAACCACATCAGAACACATTCTTACTGAAGAATATTAAGAAAGTATTCTTACATAAGTATAAAAAATAAAATCCATCACTAGAAGAATGAAATGAAGAAGGAGAGAAAATGGATTCCTTTCCTGTATCATATGATATGCCTGGATTAAATTAGCCTATTTATTCTTTTTAATAGTATGTTGAAATAAGTATGATCATTTTCATTTTACATATGAGAAGAATGAAACAGAGAGTGATTATACAGACTGTTCATGACAGAAAGACATAGAGATTCTGAGCCAAATCCCTCTGGTTACAAATCTATTGTACATTTCCCTGAATACTTACAGTCTTTGTACATAACTTTTAAAAATCCAACTCTACATGTTATGGGAAAGAGCTCACAAAAGATTAACTATTTACAGACACATATCTCTATAATGTGTCAGAGACAATAAGATTGCCACAGGATAGAGCAGGATTTAGGGCTGTTGTACATAGGATCACTATGAGTGACAGGCAAATTGATGTCACATAACAATAACAACAACAACAACATATCTACATTATACATACAGATATATACCAATAGAGCTCTTGGCATCAGGAGTCAGGAAATCAAAAAACGAATTGTACTGGGAATGTCTGCTGTCAGGGACCTCTCTAGGGTACTGTAGAGTAACAATGTCAGTCGGAAGACTAAGGTGAGACTGATCCAGCCATAGTCTTTACAATTACAGAGAGCTGGACAATGACTAGGGATGATAGAAGAAGAATCGATGCTTTTGAGTTGTGCTAGAGAAGAGTGTTGAACACACTATGGAGTGCCAGGAGGACCAAAAGGTCTGTCCTGAAGAGGGTAAAGCTAAGCTGCTCCCTGAAGGCAAGGATTTTGAGGCTCCAACTCACAGACATCGGGCACATAACCAGGAGAGACAAGTCCTTGAAAGAGAACAACATAAGGGTGGAGGGACAGCGCAGGAGAGGAAGATCCAGGATGAGATGGATTGACTCAGTGATTGGAGATGTAATTAGGTCTGTCAGATAGGATGAGAATGGCTCAAGATAGGGCAGGTTTCAGAGCTGTTGTATATAGGGTCACTGTGAGCAGGTGACTCAATAACACATAACAACAACAATAACATGATAGATAGATAGATAGATAGATAGATAGATAGATAGATAGATAGATAGATAGATAATAGATAGATAGATAGACAGATAGATGATAGATAGATAAAACTGCCTGTCTGATCCCACCAAAACCAATCTATGTGTTTTAACACAATCCCAAAACAGATAGAAAATTCCTTTTTCAAGGAGATTGAAAAGGCAGTTGTTAAGTTTATTTGAAGGGGAAAGAAACTCAGAATAGACAAAGCACTTCTGAAGAACAGAAATTAAGTGGGAGGCATAGCACTCCCAGATCTCAAAATCTGCTGTACAGCTGTAATAAACAAAACAGCATGGTACTGGTACAACGACAGGCACACTAACCAATGGAACAGAAATGAGGACCCAGAAATGAACTCACCTACCTATGTTCAACTGATATTCGACAAGGAAATAAAACCTACCAACAGAAACAACAACCTCTTCAACAACTGGTACTGTCAAAACTGGACTACTATCTGGAGAAAGGAGAAACACGGTCCATACTTCACATCACATGCAAATATCAATTCAAGGTGGATCAGAGACTTGGGAATAAAGACTAAAACCATAAAATTCACAAGATACAAACTGAGACAAAGCTTAGAAGGTCTTGTCTATGGTATAAAGAAATTACCAAAGACAGCTAGAAATGCTCAATCTGGAGAGGATAAAATTGATGAATGACCCTTCCAAAGATTAAATCCTTTGTGCAACAAAAATTGTTTCCAATAAAGTAAAAAGAAAACCTAACAGGGAAAAAGCATTTGGCAATACCATCTCAAACAAGGGTCTCATAACAAAAGCTTGCAGAGTACAACAGGGACTAAATAAGAAAAAGACTGACAACCTAATTACAATATGGAAAGACTTTTCACAGAGAAAAACATTTGGATGGCTAACAGACACATGAAGAAATGCTCAAAATCATGGCAATAAAAGAAATACAAATCAAAACCACAATGAGATACCATCTTACCTCAGTAGCAGTGGTAAAGCTGAAAGGGACAATAAGCACTAAACCCAAGCATCTTAATAACTGATTGTTAATTAAACAAAAATGACCAAACAGCTTACACCTGATTGGTGTTTGCTTGTTTTCCTGTCTCTCTTTAAAAAAAAAAAATTTTATACTGATTTATTTACTAAGTTTGAATATATTGTTTTTCACACCTGATTCCTTACTTAATGTTAACCCTTGGGCCTGGTGTGAAGACTTATTTGCTACTGAACTTACAAATAAAATTGTTTAACACACAATCAGTTTGCTCTATTTGGGGAGAAGATTGTTTTTATTGGTACAGGAGTTGTCTTTCAGTTTGCTGTACTGAGATAACTTATGACTTACTGTGGTACTGAGAGTTATGCCACTGGTTTGTTCAAATGCCAAAAGAGATGCCCATGGTAGATAGATTTTAATAGAGCTCCCAGATTAAGAAAGTCTAGGAAGCAGGATTGGCTATCCACTTATTAATTAATAGGCCTCTGAAACCCCTATGAACAGCAGAGAAATGGTTAGTTATAGCCGTAGTGGTAGAGCCCAGACTGGAAGTCAGTAAAAATGAGGAGCAATAATGGCAAGCATCATTTAATAACTGGAACATGGAATGTACGTATCTTGAATGTCGGAAAACTAGAAATTTTGAAAAATGAAATGGAATACATGAACATCAACATTCTAGGCATTAATGAAATGGATGGACTAGCTTTGGACACTTTGAATCATATAATCATATTATATACTATACTGGGAATGAAAAACTGAAGAAGAATGGTGTTGCATTCATAGTCAAAAAGTCAATTTCAAGTTCTATGCTGAAATACAATGTTGTGAATGATAGTATATTATTCATTCACATACAAGGAAGGCCCATTAATATGACTATTATTCAAATATACTCTCCTATACATCTACAGCCAAAGGAAAAGAAAATGAAAATTTTTATCTAATCTTGCAGTCTGAAATTGACTGAACATGTAATCAAGATATGTTAATAACTGGTGACAGGGATGTAAAAGTTGGAAACAGTGAAAAAGGAATTGCTGCTTGTTGCTGTGTACCATTGAGTCCAAACCAATCCACAGCTGATCTCAGGTGGGTTTTCAGAGGCAGTTAATCGCACAGGAAGAGACTGCCCATCCTCCCACGGAGCAGCTGGTGGCCTCAAACCACATGCCTTCAGGATTGCAGCACAGCTTCTTGACACTAAGCCACCAGAGTGAAGAAAGAATAATAGTTGTAAAATGGAGGTGTGGTGATAAAAATGAGGTTGGAAAGAAAATGATTGGATTTTGCATTTCTAATTTATTTATTCATTGTAAATACTTTTTTCAAAAGATACAAACAATGACTTTACACATGGACTTCACCTGATGGGCTGCATAGAAGTAAGACTGAGTACACTGTGGAAGGAATCGTTGGGTAAGCTCAATATTGGCAATGAAAACTAGGCCAGGAGAGGACTGTGAGTCAGACATCAATTACTCATGTGAAAGTTCAAATTGTGGAAAAAAAAGAAAGTTCAAATTGTGGTTGAAGACAATGAAAATGAGTCCACAAGAACCAAGATATGATCTTGAATCTACTCCATCTGAATTTCAAGATCATTTAAAAACAGTTGCAAATAGAGATACCATTTGACCCAGCAATTCCACTACTGGGAATATAGCCTAAAGAGACCATAACTGCCACCCAAGCAGATATATGCACACCCATGTTTATCGTGGCTTA